AAAAATCATATGACTTCATTCATATGAGGACTTTTAAGAGACAAAACAGATGAACATAAGGGAAGGGAAACAAAAATAATATAAAAACAGGGAGGGGGACAAAACAGAAAGGACTCATAAATATGGAGAACAAACTGAGGGTTACTGGGACAGTTGTGGGAGGGGGGATGAGGTAAATGGATAAGGGGCACTAAGGAATCTACTCCTGAAATCATTGTTGCACTATATGCTAGCTAATTTGGGATGTAAATTTAAAAAAACTTTTTTTTAAATTAAAAAAATTAACAATTAAAATGTAAACCAAAATTTGCAAAATGTATTGTTAATTAATTTTATACAAGTACATGACAACTTTTAACTATCGTATTACAGCCTAATTGCTTTTTATTGTTGTCTTAGGTCCCTTGTAGCTAATCTTGCTGCTGCCAATTGTTATAAAAAGGAAAAACATCTTGATATGGAGAAAAACTGGACATTGGTACAAAAAGCAAGAGTTTATTATATAGCAGTAAGTATTTACCTAATTCAAATTTCTGGTACATATTTACACTGTTAAGTATAGTTTTTTAGTGGATATACGTTTTTAAATAATTGTCTTTTACTTATCCTGCAAATTATTAGCCCATGTCAATGCATATATCGGAATCATTATTATAAATACAGAATAGAAACATGATCATTCCATGTAACATTATTTGTATTACTTACATTCAAGTCTACCTCTTTTTGGATACATTATACATAGATGTGTCTTAGGTAAGTATCAACTTCCATATTAAATCAGTTTCTTAAGATCTTTTGAAGTAATTCTAAAAATTTACATTTTATATTTTCAGGCTGCTTGTTGCGAATGATGCATGCATTGTGTGGGAAAATAGTAGTAGTATAAATATTCACTGCAAACAGAGCTTATTTGCCTAAAAAAATCTTAATTGCTGTTTATTCCATAGTAATTACTATGACATGTTTTAATTTAATATTTCAGAAACATTGATCGTGACAATCTCTTAAATCTGGGAATAAGGGCAGCATGTAATTTGAATTATTAAATATTCTGACATAAAAATAATTGGTTAAGAGTTCATTTCTAAAATAAGATGGTACTAAAATTTCCCTGAATTAATCACCCCATGAATACCTTGTTTTTATTTAATATGAGTTAAATGTGCCTGATCACAAATAAGTAGATACCTACGAGAAATTAGAAGTACCTCATATGCATATAATATATGGTTTTGGTATAACAGCTGCTGCCATTCACTACCTGAGCTGTGAAACAGCTGCAAAGACGTGTAAAAAATTGATTATCCAGTAGTAACATGTTTATTGAAAATATAATTATTTCTTTCAGTCTAGTGTTAATGTCTCCTACAACATGTTTATGTTCACTGCTTTAGGCTTTACAAGGTTATTATTGATTCCTCTATAAGGCAAATCATACCCCTTTATAATGTCAAGTAAATTCTTACGTTGAGAGGATTATATACAGGATGTTAGCTCTTTTGACAGTATGTGAGAAAACATTTCAAAAATTAAGAAATTTTCCCTCTTCATTATCTTCTATTTTATTTTTCTAAAGGGCCTCATTTTTTTGTTACTATCTTGGGTGCCTGTTTTGTAGTGTGGTTCTTTAAGGGGAATTTACATGCTATTTCAAACCATCATGCATTTGAAAATCTGATTTTCATAGAACACCTGGTTTAAAATTTGGCATTATTTATGTTATTTATATTGGCTATGAAGTATGATAATATATTATGGTGGAAAACTACATTTAGCAAATAATTATAATTCTATTTTGATATATAGCAATTGGACTCCAAATTATGAGTGGAAACACTCAGTCTTAAACAGTTATGTATATTTAACATAGGCCAAGCCTGGATGAATGGAATTTTTATGGTAGTATAGACCCAACTTGCAAACAACTTACAGTTTTTAATAATTATGTACCATAGTGCATGTAGCCAACTTTGGGCAAATTCAAATTTTTATAATATTAACAATTTATATAAGTCCAGGTTTATATAAAATGTAGAGCGCTCAGTTTGGGTCAAATTAATAAAGAAGATTGAATTATTTTTAAAACTTGTTAAAAATAAACAGCCAGAAACAAATACCAAAAATGGATTCCAGTTGATATCTCTGAGCTGTTAGCCCTTAGTTTCTATTTCAGCAATTTTGTAAAAGGAATGCTGTTTTACATTGCCAGGCAAGTTGATAGTTTGCTGAGAGTTTGGCTATTTTAAAATCGTTCTGAAAATATAAGAGTCATAAGGAATACCTGGGATGCTGTATATTCTACAACTATTTTTTTTTTTACTGTTTGTTTATAAATGTTTATTTGTAAGAAAGATAGCATGAGTGGGGGAGGAGCAGAGAGAGAAGGGGCACAAAGGATCCAAAGCAGGCTCCACGCTGACAGCAGAGAGCCCGATGTGGGGCTTGAATTCACAAACCATGAGATCATGACCCAAGCCAAAGTCAGATGCTTGACTGAGCCATCCAGGTGCCCCTGTTTATTTATTTTTGAGGGGGTGGCAGAGAGGGAGACAGAATCCCAAGCCTGGTCCATGCCACCATTGCAGAGCCCAACACAGGGCTTGAACCCCCAAACGGTGAGATCATGACTTGAGCTGAAACCAAGAGTCAGACACTGAACCTACAGAGCCATCCAGGCACCCCTCTACAACTATTTATTTTGATATTAACTAAGTCCATAATGCTTATTCATTAAAATCTGTGAAATCTCTTCTGAAATGTAATGTTATGTGTACAAAGACGTTCTGCATTTCTTTTATTATTTTTTAAATTAATTAATTTTTTAAGTTTCAAGTTATTATTTAAATCCTAGTTAACATACAGTGTAATATTAGTTTCAGGAGTAGAATTTAGTGATTCATCACTTAAATATAACACCTCTGCAGTTCTTTTAATCCTTTAGTTTCCTTCAAGGTCCAGACATCCAGGATAGTCTTTTCCTAGCATATCCTCAAACCACAAGTTTAGATTGAGTAGATATATCTATACATATTTCAACAAATTAGGTGGACTCCTCCATATTGGTTCTGTAGGGTCAGCAGTCTTCTCACATTGTCATTATAAATAGCTGAGGTTTAACAAGTTGAAATTCTGGGAACTCTTTCATTTCAAAATTTCTTGGCCTGAGGAAGCAGCTCAGTGTATCTATTCAACGAATTTCCATAATTAAGACATCTATGTGCATTATGTAAAATAAACCAGATCTACATACTCGGCTCTTCTTTCCACTATTCCATAAATAAATAATGCTCATGAGCATTAAGAAAACCCAAAACCTTGATTGTCTTTTTTGTCACATAATTCAGTGAACTTAACAATGCAGAGTTCACATCAGAAACTTCACTGATAAAAGCTAAAATGGAATACGCATATACCAATATTTTCTTTTGGTTTAAGTAAGTGTTTACATCTTTTTTTTAACCTTCATAGGAAGTGTTCCATTTATGGCATGTAAACTCAGTTTTTCCATGTTTAAACCAAATTCCTCAGTTTTTTCCTAGTATGTGATAAGGGATTACAGTTATGGTGACAGTTAATTGTATTTTTGAAAATATAAATTCCAGGTGCTGTTCACCTTAACATCATATTCTCTTGCAAGAAATACTTCTTATAATAGCCTTTTTAAGGCTATGATATTTAGGAAAGATTTATGAAAAAAATTAGGAAATTGGAGCTATTCATTTTTCTAAACTATGGATTTCCTTTTTAAAACAATATTAATGTTATGAAAAATGAGAAAATTAGCCCACAGCATTTTATCCTGTTCTTGATTTTTTATACTTATATTTTTATTTTATCTTTGCATTTTTAGTGTTTTAATATTTGCATTCTATTCTATAGCCATAATACTTACAGTCTTGTTTCTATATTTAAATGAGTTAAATGCTCAACCACCACAAGTATTTTACTCCATCCTCCTATTTCTTTATTGTTTATTTTGATATCCCTCATTTGGCTGCATTTTGTCATTTTTATCCCAAGGAAGGACTCAGAGCTTCTCTCTCTCCTTGAGATTTTATTTACTTCTTACTGCTTTATATAAAAATGACAACTTATTTGGTGTAATACAAAGTACTTCTTTGTAGATATTGCTTTATTTCCTAGCACTTTCTATGGGAAACCTGAGTCCAGGTTGGTTTTTATTTCTGTTCTTTATTATTTCCTTATTTTTGCTTACTTTAGATTTAATTTGCTCCTCTTCTACTCTTCATCCTTCATCCTCACCCCCCCATTCATACTCCATCTTTGCTTTCTTTCTCAAGGTGGAAGCATAATTTATTGATTTGAGACTTTTTGCTTTAGACCTTTAGTGCTATAAAATTTCTCTGTGAGTATTGATTTGGCTGCCTCCCACAAATTTTGATATGTCATGTTTTCATTTTCATTCAGCTTGTAAAACTTTCTACTTTCTCTTTTACTTTCTTCCTTGGCTTGAATTATTTAGAAGCATATTGTTTATTTTCTAAATATGGATATTTCCCAGAGATCTTCCTTTTACTACTATTATGGATTTGTATATTCCTCTCTGCATTTCTATCAGATTTTTCTTCAATGTGTTTGAAGCTCTGTTATTAGGTCCATAAGGATGTAGGGTTAATTATATGACCCATTTATCATTTGAAACATTTAATCCTGGTATTATACTTTGTCCCCACTAATTATTCTGTCTGATACTCTGATATTAATATAGCCAATTCAACTTTTTTTTTTTACTATTAATATCTTGGTATATCTTTTTCTACCCTTTTGCTAATAATCTATTTTGTGTCTTTATTTTTTAAGTGCATCTTTTGCGGTGCCTGGGTGGCTCAATTGGTTAAATGCCCGGCTCTTCATTTTGGTTCAGGTTATGATCTCACAGCTCCTGAGTTCAAGCCCCATGTCGAATTCTCTCTCCCTCTCTCTCTACCCCTCCCCTGCTCACACCCTCTCTTACTCTCTCTCAAAATAAATAAATAAACTTAAAAAAAATAAAGTGCATCTCTTGTAGACAAGATTTTGTTGGATCCTATTTTTTTATCCAGCCTGAAAATGTCTGTCTTTTAATTGGGATGTTTATACCATTCCCATGTAATATGATTATTGATATGATTAGATTTAAGTTCATCATCTTGGTGTTTGTCTTCTGTTTGTCTTCTTTGTCCTTCATTCTATTTTTATTCTGTCCTGCTTTCTTTTAGGTTAATCCAGTATTTTTATTTCCATCATTGGGTTAATATCTCTTACTCTTTATTTATTTATTTTTTATTTTAGTGACTGCATTAGGGCTGATAGTATACATCTTCAACTCATTACTGTGTTCATTTTTTTTTTTTTTTTAATTAAGTAAGCTTTGTGTCCAGTGTGGGGCTTGCACTCACGACACTGGGATCAAGAGTCACAAGCTCTCCTGACTGAGCCGTGTCTTCCTTCAAATAATACTATATCCTGTCACATATAGTATAAAAACCTTACAATAGTATACTT